AGAGCTGGTGAGAGCCTAAGGCCTCATCTAAGGCAGCAGGAATAGAAGGGGTGGATTCAAGACTTTTGAGTCAAACCTGGCAAGTGAGTAGATAAAAGCTTTATTTGGAGGCTATACTGGTAGGTAAACAAGAAAGAATAAAGAGAAAATGACTTTGATTTTGAGTCTGGGTGTCTAAGGTGGTAAAGGGTAATGGAGGAACTCCTTGACTAAAACTAAGGCCAAGACAGAAGAACAGCTGACAAACTGAGTTCAGGTTTGTACGATTTACGTTTCAGACACCTCCTTTGAGTTCCCAGCACTCCCCGCATATTCCTATAATTGGAATCTGTTTTGTCTCTCTCCTTCATCACATTGTAAACTCTTCTCTCTTTTACAGCTGAGATCGAATTATCCATCCTTGTAAGCCCAGTGTCTAAGCACAGGTCCTGGTACCAGGTCCACAGGGCCCGTTCAGCCACACTATGAAACCTCCTCCTGTTAGGTGCATTCACCAGGAGAGGATCTCTGGCTTTCCTAGGAGATGACTCCTGAGGTCTAGGTGATGTCAAGTCTAGAGTACACATTTTCAAATTTTCAAGGATGGATGGTACATGAGCTCCATACACGGTGTCCATCCCACATACACACTCTCATTCTCGTGCCTGCTTCTCAGCTTCGGAGTTAGTGGCAAAGGCTAACTTTATAATTTTATTTATTTACACTCCATTTTCAAGAATTAACTTAAAGTAAGTGGTAGCAATACCTAAAATATAGTAAGATAAGCAATTCAAGGTAGACAAGAAAGACAAAAGCAAATGAGTATATAGGGCCCAAAAATATGGATAGAGTAATAAAGTTTCTCAAAAAAATACATGCCATGAAGATCCATATACTTACTGTAGGTGGGCCAAAAGAGTCAGCACTAAGCTTTCTGGCTTTTATGTACAAGGAGAAACTTGATCAGCTAGACAAGCTTAAAGATAAAAGCAAGGCAACTGTTCAGGAGAAGCACACCATTTCTCATGCTAACAGACAAATTCCTCCCAAGGGTCCTCATAAAGAGGATATAATGAACATCTTTTCAGTAGTCGCAGCAATGAGTTTTGTGGGATTGCTTCTCATTGTTCCCTCGACACAGAATGATAGCATCTCACCAAAGCACATTTCCGTGAAGACGGTACTACACTGGGATCGATACGCTACATTCAGGTAAAAGAAAAAAAATCTACGTAAAAGTAAACAAGAACTTGCAGGTGTAGATTTTAGAATAAACTAATGATTTGAAACCTTGCACACTGCACAGTAGTATCACTGGGAAGTTGTTGTAAAGTTACTGATGCCTGAGCCCCCTCCTGGGCTAATGACATCCAGATCTCCTGGGGATGGGGCCTCCATTTTTTAAATGCTACCCAGTCCAGATGACTCTAAGGCTTCACCAGAGGAGCTTTTACCATATCTGGAGGCTCTGGGTCAATGAAATCAGAATCTCTGGGAGACAGACCTAGGCATCAGTATTTTCTAAAGCTCCCCAGTCCAAGGTCCCACCAAGGTTAAGAACCACCACTGCACAGGAATGGACGGATTGACTGGGACATCCTTTGTGTAATGCTTCCTGAAAACGGCTGCTCTTAGTTGAGTTTTGAATAAGTATTAATCAACACTGATACTGACATTATCCTTCCTAGCTCATCTACACTATCAAATAAATATGGACCCAAATGTCTTCATGAACAGTGGAGCTGGAATGGGTCGGACTTTATTTTATAAAAACTGAGGAATCTTCCTGAGTTGGGGGCTATTTTGCCATCATAGAGAGAGGCGCTGAGGGAAATCCAAAAGTAGGGCCAGGATCTAATCTAACAACCAGAAGAAATGAACAATCAAGTTCCAGAGTTTTATTTCCAGAGCACAGATACAACTTTTAGGAAGATAGGTTAATTCATCAGCCACTCAAGCCATAAGAAAACAACTCAATAAAACAACTAGTTTTAAACAATGATATTTTCTGAGGATTTGTGAGATAACTGAATGGATTGACTTGTCACATAAGTTTATCTATAAACTAGTCAGAAGTCTGGAAATATCTACCAAAGGCAATTTTAGTTTTAGAATGTTGTCAAAGTCCTTTCTGACTATAATTAATAGCAGAACCAAAAAGATTAGAAAATCCCAATAACAACCTCTATTAAATTGGAGCTTGAAAAAAAAAAAAAACCTGAGAGAGAATATCCAGAAACAAGTTACAGGAGGCTGATGATACTTGCTCATAGCCTAAGTTGAACAAGAGTTGGTTCTACCCCTCGCTTTTATGCACAAGACTTCATACAAGATAACCAAAGACGTTCAGTGCATCTGCCTAAAATCTAGAGAATGTGAGCAGGCAAAAGAGGTAATGTGCCTTATCTAATTGCAAAATAACACCGAGGACTCAGATTCTCTATATTTTGTGGCTACAAAGACAGAAATTGAATGAAGCTGGCAGTCTACCTGAGCTACAACTGCCGCTTCCAGCATAAAGGCAGAAGATACCCATCGCACATCCACTGGCTCAGGAGAAAGCCCTAAAAGAATCTAAATCTTTTTCTGGGTCCTTTAGGGAGCACATATACTGTCTGTAGGAGGCCCAGGCCTAGACATTCAGACTTTTATTCACTGCCACCACTGATAACTTTGTCTTCTATTCTTGTATGTTATTTTCCATACAGCCTTTCTGTACCGAGAATAAATGGCGAAGAAAGGAGAGTACACAAGAGATGGGCTATGTACAAAACTATAAGGAAAATTTAGTGACCTAATATAAAAAGGCAAAGTAAGAGACTGAAAAAAAGGTCAAAGTATACAAAAAAAGGAAAGAAAGAAAGAGAAGGAAAGGAATGGAATTCAGGCACCAGATAGAATGTGGTATAGCCATATAGAAAGGCTAACTAGAAATCTGATAATAGAATTAAATGCCTGACAAAATTTATTCATTTCTGTGGGAAGTGCTTTAGAGGTTTGATTTCATGTGTGGCCAGCTTTAAAAACTGGGTTTTCAGTTGTACAATGTGAGCTGTACAACCTTGAGGGTTTCTTAAAAGCAGCTATCACCATGAGTATGTCTATCTAGTATCAGATTTGGACATCCTGTTGAACCTGCTCCAACATCAACCTGGAGAACCAACAATGCAAAAGCACCCCACAGGTTAAGTTTGACACCTGGGTGCCTGGGGATTTCAGGTTTCCTATTTATCTTCACTAGGAAGACAGTTCTTTAATCACAGGCCTGCCTGCTATGAAAGGCCAGAGATCTTTACTGGCTCTCCCCAAGAATCAAATCCAGAAAGGGTAATCATTTTCAAAACTGACTACTTGTACTTTAATCATAATTATCCTGACCAAAACCAGGTAGATTTTAAGACATAAGCCACAAGACTGAACAATTAAAAATTATTTTTCCTACCTCAGATTCCTTCCACAATAGGTTTAGGAACCCAAAATAAAAAGGGAGAGCTCCAAGATACAGCACTTATTACCAAAAAAATCTTCAGGATCTCAAATGGTATCCAGCAAACCCTGAGAGAAAGCTGCAGTAAATTCTGTTCCCAAAGGTATTAACCTCTGTTATCCACTGTGATCCCAGTTAGGGTGGTTCCTGGCACAAAGGTCCCTGCAACTCTTTGACAACTGCCAAAATGGTCACACATAAATGCACTACACCCTTGTACTCAAGTTCCCACAAATATTTATTAGAAATGCAGAATCTCAGGCCCTACCCCACGTCGGCGGAATCATAATCTGCATTTTAACAAGATCCTAGGAGATTTATACGCACCGTGGGAAGCACACTACTACTTCTAGCTGTGCTTCGTCACAGCCATCGGGGGGCGTAACTGGAAGTTTCAGGTCTGTCCTACAATCCGAGAGTCCGAGGGGTCTTGGGGGGTCAGGGGCGGGCACCAGGCCAGCACCTTTGCTCAAACTGTTTTCCCTTTGTCTGGACCCAGCCCGAACCCCCGCTCCGTGAGCGTAAAATTCCAAAGGTAGTGTGTGTTGGGGCGAAGAGCCCGGCCCGCCACTGGTTGGCCACACAGTCCTCGCCCCACCAGCCCCGCCGAACTCTCACCTGCTCCTCCCGCGGAAGCGCCTTGAGAGGGCTCCGCGCCCCGTGTCGAAACACGACTTGCACCATTTTCAGCTCCAGCAGGCTTCGGTCGACGGAATCCTGGTCGTCAGCCCCCCGCCGCTGGTGGAGGCAGTACGCCAGCGAGGTCAGGACGCCGACAGGGGCCCACATGCGCACCCTGAAGATCCGGGAGATCATGGGGGAAACCCCTCGGCTCCTCTCCGGGGTGAGGGTGCAGAAAGCGAATACAAGTCCTCCGCGATCGACGGGGCTCAGCAGCCACCCCCAAGTTCCCGGGAACCGGTGGGCGAGCACATCCACCCGCCCAAGCTGCGACCGCTGCGACTCCCAGCTGTGAAGGGGACCCCGAGTGGGAGCGTGGGGAAAGAAGCGGAGGTGGGAGCAGCGATGACTCCCCGGGAGTTTTAACCAGGGTCGGGGTTCGCCTCTCCCGCCGCAGACTGGGAGGGGGAGCGGGGAGCTCAGCTCCTTATCCTTCGTCCTCTAGGGAACCTTAAACTTGGATTCCAAGTTCGGCCTCCAGCACTCTTGACGGGACAGGAACCTGCCCAGAGTTCCTGGGCGGCAGTGACTCCATTAACACAGAACACTCGACTCCACTTTTTTATAAGCAAGCTCCCACCCACTTTCTCACCCACCCGGGGACCTGCCCCAAGCGGACCCGCGCAGAGGAGCACGGGAAAACGAGTCCCGCGGTGACTCCTATCCGGAGGCTCTGAGTTGCGAGAACTACAACTCCCACAATACTGCGCGCCGCTGGCCCTCCCCGGGAGGTATTACCCCGCCCCCGGCAGCGGGCCTAGCCCCTCAGGCCGGCAGGTTGGAAGTCTCCAGGAGCTGGCGGTCAGCGTGTGTAGGAGTGAGTCCGCGAGTTTGCCAAGCGGATTGGGTAGGCGACATGAAGGCAGGGGGAGATAGAATTGGGTAGTGGAGCCGATTTATTTTGAGTCTACTGAGTATAGAAGACTTCCTTGAAGTCCTGGAAGTTGGGGTTCCTGAATTAAGAGCCAAGTACCGTTTGCGAAGGGCGGCACTAGGCGCTTTATATTTAATTTTCATTTGCTGTCTCCCTTCTATGTTTAGAGGCTTAAATCGTTGCAAACGTATAGAACTTCAAGCTCATTGATGTGTTTATTTACATCCAGAATATTTCCTGTGGAAAAATCCAGGCTCTGCGTGCAGATGTCCCAGTGACTAAGCACCTTAGCTAAGCCTCAACCACCTGCTGGTCTGGTTTCTCATGCATATACAGCGGCCCCAAACCACTATTCCAGATCTTTGCAACAGGGCACAATGAAAGCATCTGTGTCTAGCTCAAGGCAAAGGTCAAGTTGTGAGGAGAGTCTGAATATGTTACATTAAAAAAAAAACACAAATTCAGTCAATTTGAAGATCTAATTGGCTTTATTCAACTATTCATGAATTGGGCAGCATCCCATCTAGCAACTAGAAGAATGCTGGGAGTGGTTGTACAAAATGGAAGGCTTTTAATAGGCAGGAGGGTGGGGCAAGAAGGTATTAAAAAAAGAAAAGATGGGTTCCCTTTCTGGGAAGGTCGCCCCCCCCCGCAAGGGTTTTATCATGCAGATTGCCTCTTCTGGGGGTGGGAATGGGGGTTGATGGAGAGGGACCACGTGACAGGTTACCTTACTGGTGCTTAACCAGAAAATTCCATACTGGTCCCTTAACATTACATTTCTGGGGGAGGCAGAAACTGCAATTAGACATGGGTACTAAACCTAGATAATAAATCTAGGTTTGGTATCATGGGCTTTAGCACTAGTGATGCCACTTTGGGCCTGTGGTTTTCTTTTTAACACCATCCAACCAATTCTTTTATCATTCTAGATTCTGTCATTGAATCAAACTGGGCAAGATGTGAGGGCAACATACTTATGGAGTATGGCTCCTGACCTGAGTCTAAACTAGTTCACTAACCTAGAAAATTCTGAATGTCCTACTGTCGGGAAGGGTCAGTTTGGAACACTGCACATTGTCACAGTTTTCCCCCTGGCCTAGCCCATGGACTTACTTCTCAGAGTCTTACTGTGTGTCCTGATGCTATTAAAAACTGAAAGCTGTTTTTCTAGCTAAAGTAAGGTATCAGGAGCACCAGACAACTCAGCTTCGGAACCTGTGTAATGAAATGTAACCTCAGTGGGGAAAGCTGTTCTCAGCAGTTGAGTGAAAACATGGTATAACTTTAGTGCAGAAGGGCCCTGGTGTTTGAGCAGCTTCAGCAGTCCTGGTTGTGCTAGCACATCAGAGCATCTTCAAGGCAATGTAATGTTGGCCTCTGGATGCCATTCCCTTCTGCATAATGGACAGGCCACCCTAGTCCACACCCTTACCCTGGCAGCCTCAGCACAGACTTGTCAGGCATCACGAGCAGCACCTTTGACCTGGATGAGCCTGTGCTGCCGGGGTGCCCGTGTGTAGTTGAGGAGCAGTGCTGTGACTGTCTTAGCAACAGATCTCTGCAGGAAGCCAGAGCAAGTGAGGTTGGAAAATGACAGATTCCATGTGGCACTGTTTGTCAGCACATGGGAGACAACACTTGGGAAGCCCTGTAAATATTTGGTGTGTTATGTATGGTGGTGCTGGTAGTGTTAGTAAATTGCAATTTAAAAGAAAGGGTAAAATCCTGAAATCATGCTCTGGGGCTGCAGAGTGGCAAGGGTGGGGAGTGGTAGGCCGTGGGGGACTGAGCCACTGATATTGTGACCTTGGCTTTACCATCAGGCAGGTTTGGCTTGGGAAATAAGCCCTCTTCCCACCAAATTGTCCTCAGAGGGTTGGCTTTAATATTATGCCAAAACTCGGTTTGAATTATGAGATAAGAAACAACCACATTCACTGTTTTATCTCCAGTAGTGAACACAGTGCCTGAGTCATAAGTACTCCATAAATACTTGTGGAATGAAATTATAGAATATATCGTAGGAATGCTGTTGAGGACATTGTTCATTACATCACTTATTGCTCCCTTGAGAAATTTGTTGTAGTGTTAGCATTAGAACAAACATTAAAACGTATGAACATTACTTTTCCTTCATTTTTGCCTCGGCTGATAGGAAGCTTGGAGCTTAATTTTAAACTTAACCACAGCAAATATTTAGAACCTAATAGCTAGTGTAACTGTGATCTTTTCCTCCAGGATATCACCCTGGATTGGAAGGGGGCAAAACTGGAGAAAGGTCAGGCTGTTGCAGGCTTCCAGGTGTGAAACCTTTAGGAGGCAGAGTTAACAATAGAGAGTGAGAGGGAGGAAGGCGTCAAGGATGACTTCTTAGTTCCTGGGTCGGGCAACTTGCAGAGGATGCCTTTTACCGGAAGGAGGTTGAGCAGAAATTAGCAAGTTAATTTTGAATATGTACATTGTAAGTTTACCTGTGAGGCATTTAAATACAAATGCCCTCTAGATTTTATGGATCTGGAACTCAGGATAAATCTGGAGTAGGAATATATAGGTGAAACTCCTCCACGCATAGTTATTAATTGAAACATTAGGAGCGGTTAAGATTCCCAGGGTGAGTGAGTCGAGTAGGAGAGAAACAGGGGGCTAGGACAGGACTCTTGAGTGTTACAGAGCAAGGGCTCGCTGTGCCACGCGCATAGAGGCCAATACTATGGCACTGGCTTTTGAGAAAAGAGCTTTATCTTGAGGTCGACTGACAAGGAGGCGGGAGGCAAGGCTCTCAAACCTGTCTCCTTGATCTATCGTCGGGGCAAAGTTTAAGGGGTTAGAGAAATTTCAAACCTGGATGGTGATTGGTTAGTCTTGAATTAGTCCATATGAGCTACTCATGCTGCTGGAAGCCAGCTTTTTCTTATTGAAGGACTTCTCACTTTGCAAAGGGCTCTGGTGGCAACATTTCCGGAGGCAAGTCAGGTTTGTGGGTTCAAGCCCCACCCTAAGGGAGCCCATATAAAAGGTTACAGCTGCTGACGTACTCAAAGGATTAGCGTCCCAAACCCTGGGTTAGAGCCTGCGGTCTTTGGATTTCTCTGCTTGTCTGTGTTTGTCGGTGACTGTTTTATTTGTGAGGAATTGGCCAATAGGGTTAACTATTGGATGACTGCAGCAAAGCTTTGCTGAATCTGCTTCCTGTCATTTTGCTCTGGTTATCCTGACGAGAAAACACTTCCAAAATGGGGAATGTTAACAGTACCCCTGCTAATTTAACAGGAAGGGAGGAAAAAAGAAAAAAAAAACTATGATAATATCAGTCTAAGGAATAGAGTAAGCACAGTAAAAGTAATTAGGAAATATAAGGAGTAAAATCAGTGAAATGGGAGCTAGGAGAAATCATCAATTTCCAAATGGGAGGTCAGCATGGATTAAAAAGCAAAGCTTTGTGTCTTTAGAGTGATTTGATGAAAGACAGATTAAAGAGAAACAAAACAGGTGGGGCAACATTATTAGACAAATAGATATTTTAGGAAGGTTGAGATTGTTAAGGTAGTAACAGGACAAACAGTGATTTTACAATATATAATTACTTGCAGTTTAAATAAGAAATACAGTAGTCAAACTTGGCCTACATTTAGCCAACTGTAAAATAAAGCAAAAAATCTTCCAAAACACAAGCAAAACTTGACAAGAACATTTTTGAGAAAATAGCTCTTAAATACATCTAGAGAATGGCCTGAGAAGGTTGAAGTATTTTGAAGATGGAGATAATGTTTCTAATGCAGATAATAACTAGAGTCATCTGGGTATAGATCTCTATCAGTAAGTTTGTGCTTTGTTCTGTTTGTCCCTGTCCTTTCTGATAACAATATGGTTCTTTTAGTGATGTGCTTTTGTTCTGTAATTTTTAATGTATTATGTTCTTGGTGTTCTATTTGACTTCCTACTGTATATGGTATACTGGAGTTATGAAAAAGAAGAAAATGATTTTCTTTTGTACCACTGCCTGGCCCAGTATCAAATGGGGTCAGGGGAAAATGGCCCAAGAATGGGTCTTCTAATTGTAGGACTATTTTACAATTAGACTTGGTTTGCAAAAGAGAGGAGAAATGGGACAAAATCAGCTTTATCCCTGTTTCTTACAAGGGAGGAGTCTTTTACAGTTAGACACATTTTAGTTTGTCTTCATTGAGAATTTTAACCCTCTTTTGTATGAGCCAAGCTATCAAGGAGCTAGCATTGAACTGCTTTTAAGTGTGTGTGTGTGTGTGTGTGTGTGTGTGTGTGTGTCACACACACACACACACATACTATTTTGAGCAATATAGTGAAGGAAATCTGGTCAGCCAGCTACAAAACTCAGACTTCATGAAGGGCTTGTTTTTCTTCAGAGAAGGAACTCCCAGATGGAGAACCCTTGGCAGTCCTACCATCAGCTCTGCCTTGCACTGTGGTTATCAACTTTCTTCAGGAGTAGGCAAGCACAGGTAGTGGGCTCACGACGTTTGACCTCGACTGCTTTTTCTAAGTTATTTTGTTCAGCAGTTAAAACTGCTGAACAGTTCTCAGCAGCGAAACCTGAGTCTCTATATCAGAATAAGAATTTGCAGACGATATGTAAAGTTATGGTTCAGAGGAAGGCCCTCAGAAAAAACCTGTTTTCCCTGAGTCAGAGCCAGTGATGATCTCAACTCAACTACATTTGTCTCCTCCTTTGGTGCCTCCCGCCATTCCCCTGCCTTATGAAGGGGGAAATCCCTCCGAGTGGTGCCAAGGCTTCCATCAGCAATCCTCCTAGAGCCCCAGGTCTGGCCCCAGCCCTGTACCCTTCCTTACCAGATTATCAACAGGGTCTCCCCTCCGCATACCTGCGAGGGTACTCAGTTTGACCCAGGGGGTACTCTGCTTCAGGCAGGGCAATATCCATGGAGACAAGTTCCCACAGGTCTAAATGACCAAGTCAACCCAGGGGATCTGTATATGTGCCCTCCTCCTTTTCTATCTCTGATCTGTATAATTGGAAAAAAGCATATTTAAAGCACAGCTTTCCATATGTGCCTGAATGTCCTACTCCCTTGTTGAGGCAAGGTCTACTAACAAAATTAAATGACTTTCTCAGCAGAAAAAACAAGCCTGTGCCCTCCAAGCTGCACTATTACAACTGGGAGACGAGCCTCAACCAGAAGTCCCTGAAGAAATTCTACAAAAGGTAAGAGCATACGTTTGGGCTGACCCAATAGTAGCAGAACTCTGTCGAGACACCAAGGCTCTAAATTTAAAGCAGTGCCCTTTAAAGAGGTATGCGAAAGGAGGTATAAAGCCTCTGCTAACCACCTGTCTTAAATCCCAATTAATCTGACCTTGTCATTCCCCATATGACACTCCAATCCTGCCAGTATGAAAACCCGGGACAAAAGATTATCGTTTTGTGCAGGATTTGGGAGCCATTAACCAAATTGTAGAGGATACATTCAGTGTGCCAAATCCTTAGGCAGCTTTATCTGGAGACCTTTGCTGGTTTACAATTCTGGATGTAAAAGATGCCTTTTATTGCATATCCCTAAGTCCCGAGTCCCAGGAACTGTTTGCCTCTGAATGGGATGATCCAGAGACTAACATAAGACAACAATATTGTTGGATGGCACTCCCGCAAGGATTTAAGAATGCTCCCACCATCTTCAGGGAAGCCTTAGCCAAGGATTTAAGGGGCCTCCAATTAAATGAGGGAATGTTCCTTCAATATGTGGATGCTAGTAAAACTAAGGAAGCTTCAGACCAAAATACAATCCTCACTTAAAATTTTTGGCAGACCAGGGATATAAAGTCCAAGGGGAAAGTGCAAATTTCTTAACCAACTGTAAAATATCTAGGATTTGAGTTATCAAAAGGACAAAGAAACTGACTGCCGGATCGAAGGGAAGCATTAGCTAGGGTGGTTGTACCCGCCACCAGAAGGCAATTGCAAGGATTCTTAGGAATGGCTGGGTTTTGTCATATTTGGATTCCTAACTTTGGACACATGGCCAAACTCCTATATGAGGCACTTAGAGGAAATGACCATGAACCATTAGGCTGCACTCCGGAATGCCGTAAGGTATTCCATACCATAAAAAAATTGAAGAAGTCTATTCTAGCAGACCTGACCTGACTGATCAGCCTTTAGAAAAGCCAGACGTGGAAATGTTTATGGATGGGAGCAACTTCATGGACTGGGGACTTTGAAAGGCTGGGTATGCAATAGTAACTCATCAGGAAGTCCTAGAAGCAGAAGCCCTCCTCCAGGTACATCTGCCCAAAAGGCAGAGCTCATAGCCCTCATGAGAGCCCTGCACCTTGGAGCTAAGGAAAAGGTAACCATTTATTTATTTATTTTTAATAGTGTTTTTGCTTTTTTTTTTTTTTTTTTTTTTGGCCACGCCATGTTGCATGTGGGATCTTAGTTCCCTGACCAGGGATTGAACCCATGCCCCCTGCAGTGGAAGCACAGAGTCTTAACCACTGGAACATAAGGGAAGTCCCCAAGGTTACCATTTATACTGATTCTAAGTATGCCTTCTCTGTAGTGCATGCCCATGGGGCCATATGGAAAGAGAGGTCTACTAATATCAGGAAGAAAAGAAACACGGAGAGGAGATACTGGCCATATTAGACTCTGTTATAATGCTGAAAGAAGTAGCCATAGCACATTGCCCGGGCCACCAAAAGACTGATAAGTTATATAGCTAAAGGAAATAATTTGGCTGATCGGGCTCTAAAACAGGCAGTCAGAAATGGAAACGGATCTAGAGAGAGCAGACTAATGGGGATTTCACAATGACTCTCGGAAGACTTAGATGGTATTCGGTACCAAACAACCAAATAAGGCTGGATTTATAATGAATAGGGACTAGTGCTTACACCTGAGCATTTAATGGAAAGAATTATTACTCATCTTCATCAAGGAGCCCATTATGGGAGGGATGCAACCTCTCATTGGCTACAAAGGTTTATTGTTGGTTCGCAAATTCAAAGGACCATCCAAAAAGTAATAAAAAATTGCCTGATCTGCATCAGAAACAATCCTAAAACCAGGCCACGCCCGATAATGAAAGGGGTGCAAACCTGAGGGACAAAAGCAGGAGATGATTGGTAAGTAGACTTTACTGTTACGCCAAGAACCATGGGAAATAATAGACATCTGCTCGTATTTGTGGACACCTTCACAGGATGGGTCGAAGCCTTTCTATGCTGAACAGAGAAAGCTTCTGAGGTAACAGAGGCCTACTAAGAGAAATCATCCCTCCTTTTGGGTTGCCTCTTTCTTTTCAAAGTGGCAGTGGAGGAGATTTCATAGCCAAGATAACTCAAGGGGTGTCTCAGACCCTCGGAATATAGTGAAAGTCACATGCTTCATGGAGATCTCAGTCTACGGGAAAGACTGAAAAGAGGAATCCTACCTTAAAAGAGACGATCACCAGATTATGTCAAGAAACCAACTTAACTTGGGATAAGGTCTTACCAGTTGCCCTGCTTAGGGTAAAAGTAGCCCCTAGAGGGAAGCTCCAAATGAGCCCTTATGAAATGTTATGTGGGAAACCCTTCCTTAAGACAAAGTATTATTGCAGTTTTGAAAATGATCATGTAGCATGAGTAGCTCATATTGTAGAAGAATTAGATACTATAACATGGATTCCCAAAGGAGTAAGCTCTGTTTTTGAAGGACTGTTAAAGTTAGGAGTCATAGTTCTGTGTATCTTAGGGTTAATCCTTTCACTCATCAGATTTTGTACTTACTATCATGTATATTTAAAAAGGCCTCCCCCACTCACATGATGATTGCTCAAGACAAGAGTTCAAGCTAGAATTTGCAAATATTTATAATTAAATGCAAAACAATTTCCTTCCTGTTATAAAAATTCACACCCCCAATCAGCAGGAACAGCTAGAATGGTCATTGCCCTATTTGCCTCAAGACTGAGGAATGGGGCTTCCCTGGTGGCGCAGTGGTTGAGAGTCCGCCTGCCGATGCAGGGGACACAGGTTCGTGCCCCGGTCCAGGAAGATCCCACATGCTGCGGAGCGGCTGGGCCCGTGAGCCATGGCCGCTGAGCCTGTGCGTCTGGAGCCTGTGGTCCACTATGGGAGAGGCCACAACAGTGAGAGGCCCGCGTACCAAAAAAAAAAAAAAGACTGAGGAATGTACAAAGAAAAAGGGGGGAATTTAAATGGTACGTAAAACATCGACCAGCTTCAACTGTTTTTGTCTCTTTAAATAGGTTGTTGATTAATCAAACTGAAATAGCACCAGCTTAAACTGGTTTAACTTCCTTAAAACAGGTTGTTGATTAATCAAAGCTGGAGTTATTTTACAGAGATAGCACTGTGCCTGTGCAAGACAGGAACCTGTGTCTCCAGGATGACCTTGGAACCAAGAATCTTCAGTCTACAGAACTCAAAGAATAGAAATCTTGCCACCAGAGCCCTTTACAAAGTAAGAAGTCCTTCAGTAGGGAAAAGCTGACTTCCAGCAGCTTGAGTAGCTCATATGGACTAATTCAAAACAAACCAATCACCATCCAGGTTTCAAATTCCACTAACCCCTTAAATTTCACCCCAGACTCCGGCTTGAGGAGACAGGTTTGAAAACCTTGCCTCCTGTCTCTTTGTCAGTCGACCTCGTGATAAAGCTCTTTCTTTTCTCAAAAATCAGTGCCATAGTACTGGCTTCTGTGTACATCAGGCAGCGAGCCCTTGCTCAGTAATGTAGGGACACCACCATTTAAGGGAAGGGCAGAGAAAGAGAGGCCTGAGAAGGAGAATGATAAGGAGTGGCAGAGATAGAAAAGACTTAGGTATCAAGGAAGCCAAGAGAAGAAAGGTTCGAAGAAGAAGGGAATGGACAGCAGTGTCAAATGGAACTGAGAAGTCAAGTGATGGACGGACCAAGTGTCTCCTGGATTTGACAAAATATTCTTTGGTCACTAAAGTGAGAGCGGTTTCAACGAAATAGTGGGGTGAAAATTAAATAGAAGTGGGTAGTGAGTGGGAAGTAAGTGTAGACATCTTCAAGAAGTTTAGCTGAGAAGAGGAGGTGAACAAATACAGTATCGGGAGGTGTTTGATTCAGGAAGTTAAGGGAGAACTGTCTTTTGAAGATGGGATAAGTTTCTATGTATGTCTAAATGTTGATAGAAAGAAGGCTATAGATAGGGAGAGGCTGAAAATACAACAGACAGGATAATCGAGTGAAGTGCTTAAGAGGGTAGAAAAAGATGAGAAATAAATGTAAAAGTCATTAGCCTCAGAAGGAGAAGGTACATATTGTCAATGTTGACAGGTGGGAAAGAAGAAAGAACAGGCATAAGTGGAGTTACATTTATATTGTGGGAATTAGAGGGGTTTGTGGGGGGACAGTTTCTTTTTTTCTGCAGAATCAGTGGGGTGGGGGTTAGGTTTGGTACTTCTTGAAGATTTGAGGAACATGGGAAAGTGAAATAGCCACAGCATACATGGGAGAGAGGGTGATGGCGAGGTAACCAGAGGCTTAGCTGGTCCCCAGGTGATTCTGATATAGGAGTTCTTCAGATCACACTTCGAGAACTACTGATAGGAGGGGATTATTTTATTCTGGGAGAGTTTTTTACAAAATGGGAGAAAATTGCCAGCTGCGAGGGCGGGGGGGGGACAATTAACACAAAAAGTTATCATTGATGGGACAAAATCGCTAAGGAAAAGGGAGTTGTGATAAAGAAGAAAGGAGGAAGGATCAGTCTTGGACAGGAGATGTGTCACCTCTCCAACTAAGATCAGCCTTAGGCAGAGAAAGCCTGAAATCCTCTTTCATTAAGGGTCACCTCTTTCCATTAAGATGGGAAAGGAGGTAAGATAAACATGGAGGCAGGTAACATTGGTAGTTTCACTTCCAACAAAATTTTTCCCCGGTGATAATCTCCAGCAAGCTTGGAAAAGAGAAACTATCAATAACATTATATGTGATAGTCTCCAGCAAGCTTGGAAAAGAGAAACTATCAATAACATTATACCTAGCGTTATGCTAAATCTTTCTCATGCAGTGTGTCATTTAATCCTCCTAGTAATTTAAGTGGAAGGTCCTATCACCATTTCATAGAGAAAGAAACTGAGGTTAGAGAACAGAAGTTAAGTAACTTGTCCAAGGATGCACAGATCTTAAGGGCAGAGTCTAGGTAGTCTGAATGTGGACCCATGTCT